CCATAATTGGATGCTTTTCTTTTGAACATCAGGATCTGTAAAATTGGAAAAACGTCAATCTATTATGTCATTGAAACTTAAAAGTTACACACTATAATGCAAAAATTAAAATTTATTATTACATTTGGAAATTACTTTACACGATCAACCTTCTTTTTGTTGAAGTGTAAGGACTCTCTACTAAATTCAAAATAAAATTTTATAGTATTATGATTTTTTCCTTAAAAAATAATCCCTCCAACTTGGTAAATTTACTTTCAAATTAACGTGTTGATCATTTTGGAAATTGCCACTTTTATACAATACGTTGATCAGATTGTGAAAGCCTCGGGAACTTTTGATTCAACATCACCATCTATCAGCACTACTATATAACCACCTATAAATGCTCGATAGAATGATATTTCTTTGTTGACAATAATATTTGATTTTGCAAATAAATCTCCAGTGTTCCTTGACCACCATAAGGTGCATCACCTTTGTCTAATTAATCTGATTTTTGTTCCATCCTCAACACCTATAATTTATCGAGACAAATACAAATTACTAATTAGTTAGTTTGATTGATTAATTGCAAAATTTGAATATTTTACCAGCAGAAATATCAATAGTAATAGGTTTTTTTTCTTTTACTTGACCTATAACAGAACATGTCGAACATCTATTTCCGGATGATATTTTTGTATTACAAGAAGGACAGGTTGTTTGTATATGAAACCCTGATGCTATAACAATATATTGGACACCAGACCCTTTACATGCTTTACAGGTTTCCACCTTTTGTATCGAGTCCATTCATTATACACTTTGCAATTAGCTATTGTTTCTATAGCAACAGTTTATTTGGCTCCTTTCGCCGATTCCATAAAAGTTATATTTTTGATAACGATATTATTAATTTAATTTAATTATATATATATATATATATTGTGATTGATATAAAAATAATGACGCTAAGAATAAAAGACACTCCAATATCAGATCCACTTGTATAAGGTTGTCCGGAACCCGTTTTAACTTTTGGACTGTCAAATCCACCGTCAAATATATTGCTAAACAACACTTTACTAAATCCAAAAAATTCACCATAACTTGCATCACTGCCACCAGGAAATCCACATGTGCCTGTTGGACCTCCTTCTTCGTTTCGTTATTATTATTGTAATTTTTTAGGTAAAAAATTTTAATATATTAATAATAATAAAAAAACCTTTAACAATAAATAATAAACTGTCCTTATCCTTGATCTTGCTGTGTCTTCGAATTTTATATTTTCATAATGATAGTAAATCTACCTCTAACAATGGATTCACCTTACTAGGCGGAGATCCTTTGCTAAACATAGTTGTATATATTTTTATTTCTTTTCCTTTTATTTTAGAAAAACAGACATTAGGAAGATGCCTAAGATCAGCAGAACCCAGGCCGAAAATATTAAAGTAAAGCTCGAGGCTAAGTATATTAAGATTTTGGACGTTTTTGACTCAAACAGAAAATATCGAAGATCTGCTGGGAAAAACATCATCAGGGGTAATAGAAATTATTTCTAGAAATTGCATTTTAAGATTAGAGTATTGAAATTTTGACTCGGACAATATAATAATAATAATTTATCTAGATTTCTATATACATGTAAAAATTGAATTTAAAATTATTCTGGAGCTGAAGTATTAGAACTATTAATTGCAACAGATCAACTTGGTATTGAGTCACTTTATGAATATATAATGAAATACCTTATTGAAAAATCCAGTCAAAATTCTACAATTGAAATTTTAAGGAATCAAAGAATATCTATTTAGAAAAGTTTTGCTTATGATTTT